GAGCGCGGCCGAGATCGCACGCTACAGCCGGCAGCTGGTGCTGCCGCAGCTGGGGGTGCGCGGGCAGCTGCGCCTGGCTTCCTGCTCCGTGCTGGTGGTGGGCTGCGGCGGGCTGGGCTGCCCCCTGGCCCAGTACTTGGCGGCAGCGGGCGTGGGGCGCCTGGGGCTGTTGGACCACGACGTGGTGGAGACGAGCAACCTGCAGCGCCAGGTGCTGCATGACGAGGCGGCATGGGGCACCCCCAAGGCCTTCTCGGCTGCAGCCGCGGTGCGGCGCCTCAACTCGGCGGTGCAGTGCGTGCCCTACCCAGTGGCGCTGGGCCCCGCCACTGCCCTGCAGCTGGTGCGGCAGTATGACGTGGTGGCTGACTGCTCCGACAACGTCCCCACACGCTACCTGGTCAGCGACGCCTGTGTGCTGGTTGGGAAGCCGCTGGTGTCAGCCAGTGCCCTGCGCCTGGAGGGGCAGCTGGTTGTGTACAACCACAATGGGGGGCCCTGCTACCGCTGTCTCTTCCCCACGCCGCCCCCGCCAGAGACAGTGACCAACTGCGCCGATGGCGGGGTGCTGGGCGTGGTGCCGGGTATCCTGGGCTGTCTCCAGGCCCTGGAGGTGCTGAAGATCGCGGCAGGAATAGGCTCCTCCTTCAGCCAGTGCATGCTGGTCTTCGATGCCCTGGAAGGCCGATTCCGCAACATCAAGTTGAGACCAAAGAAAAGGGACTGTGCTGTGTGTGGGGACTATCCCATCATTACTGCCCTGCAGGATTATGAAGCCTTTTGTGGCTCATCCGCCACAGACAACTGTCGAACTCTAAGCCTGTTGCCCAGTGATGACAGGATCTCTGTGGAGGAGTACAAAAAGCTGCTGAATGAGCAAGCCCCTCATGTCCTAATTGACGTTCGTCCCCAAGTAGAAGTGGAGATCTGTTGCCTGGCACATGCCCTCCACGTCCCTTTGAGTAAACTGGAAGAAAAGAATGAAGAGTGTCTGGAAACTTTAGGGAAAAGAATCTGTGAAGGAAAACAGAGAGCTAATGGCACAGCAGCTTTCCCTGTCTATGTCATCTGCAAATTAGGAAATGACTCCCAGAAAGCTGTGCAAATTTTGCAGGCATTGTCTGTCAAGGAATTTGGTTCTTTAGTGGTTAAAGATATCCGAGGAGGGCTTATGGCTTGGGCTACCAAAATTGATCCAACTTTTCCTCAATATTAATGATCCAAATAGAGATCGTTATCTCCAAGAATGGAGAAAGGTCGTAACAGTTTACTGCTGTGTTGTTTAGAGTTGCATCTTTTCAGTGCAGTTCTTACATAGCATGGACAAAACAGGGAGAAAATAGCAAATTAACACCCCCACCCCAATTTAAGTGAAGGATTTTATTTTGTGTCTTTTAATCAGAGCTTCTAGAGAAGTTTGGGAATTCCTTTCTTTTTGATAAAACAAATATTTTACATAAAGGACAATATGCTACTCTGTGCGTCTGTGTTGGTCTTTTTAATAGCAACAATGTGGTCTAATGAATGTGGCGACAGGAGTTTAAAGACTCTTGAGTAGCATCTCTAGATCGGATCATCACTGCTGCCTTGTGGCTCCCAAACTGAAAATCTTAACCGACTCTCCACTTACCGGTCTTGTATAAAGGGAGCTAAAATAGTGCTAGCAGTTGTGAATGTCTTACAGTGTTCAAAACTGTATTAGTACATCCACTGCTTATTGTACCCATGGGGCATGTTGTATTGTTAAACCAATAGTAAGAGAATTATCAAAAAGTGTGTTTGCAGACTGGGACGTGTCAGGCAATTCACTTCATATTTTTTCCCACTTTTTCCATCTATAATCATAAGCGCAATTTATTTTTATTGTTGTCTCAATTGGAAAGTCAATGCAAGTGTTATGTGTTTTATTAAAGACAAATCTCTCCTACGACAGGATGGGAAGCTTAGAGAAACCTTCACAATAACAAAGCCACAGAGGATCATTTCTTTGTACGGTCTGTTCTTGGAGTGCAGCCAAGGGTAAAACTGCAGGTCTCATGACACTTCTGTAGCACCCAGCTTATGCTTAAACCTTTTTTGGCTGCTCTACAGACAGCTTTTAAAAATTGATCTGCAGTTAAATAGAATAAAATAAGTGGCCTGAATTCTAAAAAATTATGCTCAATTGACCAGAATCAGTCATATACGTATACATAATGATCTGATTGGGAATAAAAACTTGAAAATTGTTCTCAAAGTATGAAATGCTATGGAAATGCTAATACTGGGTGTTTTGATTCATTCAGTTTATATTTGGGATTCTTTTCTGTATGCATATTTCCTCGATAGCTTTTATAGTCCCTATTGTCTCTCTACATTTACAGGTGACGCTATGTTCTGAAACTTACTTAGCCATCATTGTTATCTCTTAGGCCAGGAAAAGGAAATGGAGCTCTGTGAAGCTTAAGAAAAACCCATGCCCAGTTTTGCATATAGAGCTATGCAATGCAGGAAAAAGCCTAGCAGAAAGTGTATGGAAGGTGCCCTGTTGAAAGCTGGGAAGCACTTTCACAAATTATTAGTGCAGGATAAAGAGGAGGTAAGACAGATTAAAGTAATTTATGCTGTTCTTTATTAAATATATAAAGGTCCTAACACTTTATAACACTGAAAAGATTATTAGTAACTTTTCTGTAATGTTAGATTGTATGTCCCCCATGGTGCTGAGCAAGTTTAATTGGCATGGACAGATTATAGTGTGGCTAAATAACTATTCCTGCTGGACTGGGTGGAAAAGTGGGGAGGGAGATAAACAATGCTGATGGGGAGGCATTCTGAGTCCTCGTCACTCTCACATAGTAATTATCTTTTTATTATTTTAATTAAGGTATGGATTTTCTTTATTCTGAAGAGAAAAAAAACACTTGTCATGACTAATCTTTGAGCTGCAGGGGGGGGTGGGGGGGGAATAGTACCAATATAATTAATGGTTGAAAAGGCATATTTTAGTAGAGCAAATTGGAGAACATCCATACCGCCTACTTTATTATAACATGCCATAGGTCCTAACAATACAAATCTGTATAATCTGTTGCAAGGAAAATGGCTCAATGAATGTTTAAATACAGGGTCAAACTTGCTTTTAAAGTACCATGAAAACATCCAAGACCGAGATTTTCTACAGGGACCAAGTGATCTTGTTTGTCTAACTGAAGATGCAATTAGAGTTTGATTTTTTTTTTTTTTTTTTTTTTTTTTTTTTTT